ATAATGGCCTCCTCTCTTGCCGCCTTATGGTATTCCTGCAGCAGCTTCAGTACAAGAGCTGGAGCACGTTCTCATTCGCTTACAAGCTCTGAGGCAATCAAACCTCACAGAGCATGATATATAGGTTGTGGACTTCCTGGAAGTGAATCTAACACTTTATTCAAAGAAAAATACAGAACTGTGGGTGTTGGATGGACCCATTTCAACCTTAAAAAAGGGTTTACTTTATAAATACAGCATGAAACGGGCTCTGCTTCTACCAAATCCCACAGAAAAATCAGGCAATGTGAACAGCCTTGTGAATTCGAACTAAAATAAAGTATGTTCAAGAGAGTAGTCAACTTCCATAGTTCATCTTCATAAGTCTTAATAACTCAAGTAGCTGGTAAAATCAGCAAGGAAGCACCTACTACTTCTCCAAATGGTGGGTTTGTATAACCAAATGGGAAATCTTGACATTTTCAGTAAATTTGCACCTCCAACCTGGCCTGGTGTGTCACGTTTCTCATCTCACACAAAATTTCAGCAAGTTCTAATACTATAGTCAAGCTAAAGTAACATGTTTAAATCCATGTTTTTAGCACCTGGTAATATCAGGTAATGAAGAACACTCATGCCCATTAACTTTTCACTGTGAAATGGGATTTTTATCAGTGCCATAAAAACAAGCAAACAAAACCCCAACGTTCTTCTATTACACTGGCAGTTGCACTTGTTCATTATACCTGCTAATGAGCAATTAGTTTAATGCCAGCGTAACTGGAATGGAATAATGGCTCCAGATGCTATGACAAAGGAAGTTTTCAATCCTTAAAAATACATCTTTTGGAATAGCAGGAAGGGAAGGCGTCTCAGAGAAAACAAGACTCTGTGCCAACATATAAACCGAAGAAATGATGCAACAGAAAACTCTTCATGTGTGCAACAGCCAGAGTTAAAAACCAGGCAGTACTTCAGGCATTCGCAAGAGCCGTATTTTTCAGTCTTTGACTTAAAAGGGTAAAGGACTGCTTCTCACCTTTCCGGGGCGCACAGTTCAGAAAGGTGCACTGAGAGCCAATACAAGCAAACCTCTCAGTGCTAAACAAAGGCTTTCTGTTCTTTTGGATTTTTAAACCATTCACAGTGTAAACGTGCCCTGAAGTTCTTGTGTGCTTCCATCCAGTCCTCTTATCTTCTCCCCCTCCTCCCGATTCCCAAAACAAAAGCAGATCATGTTCACAAATGCATTCCTCTGTCTCAAAGTGGGGAGGGAAGAGAATTAACTGCAGAGCAAACCCCCTCCAACACCCATCTTTGAGGCTGCACACCAAGATATCTACAAGGTCTTCATCTCAGACATTAGTCTGAGAAAGAGATGTTATGGAAAATATAATACATTGCTCCCATTGACTTTGGGTTACGAGTCAATTCTCTTGTTCTTCTTAGTTGTTAAAAACAATTTTCTTAACAACTACCAGCCTTTTAAAAAGAAGAGAAACTATCTTCCTTCTTCTTGGTCATTAGCTGACACTAAATAACTTATGAAACAGGTAACACTTTGGTATGAACTGCCCCAAAAATTTGCCTGGAGCAACACTTCATAGCAGAGCAAAGCTCTGCCCATCCCCAGACCCAACGCCACGAGCAGCACCGCAACTCACTGTCATTAAAGCTTGCTTTTTTAATTTGTTTTTAGCATTTCAGTGGACTCGTACATTATTCCAGGCACGTATAAAAGTCTGTATCTATTTGTACAGTATGAAACATTATAAATAACTGCTAAATATTATAAATATTATAATTAATGTAATTATAAATTAATATAATTGTTAAACACTCCCGATGGTTGTACTGTACAGTTGCTATTCTAAGTGTTTGGAGTTTGCTGGTTAATTCACAAATTTTGGGAGTATACAACAGTTCTCTCAAACTGAAGTTTAGACCAAGGAGGGTCTCTCCCAGCACAGAAAAAATATCCCATAGAGCCAGAAAAAGGAACAAAATCCCTGGTCCTTCTTGTTTAAGCTGATCAGACTGATTTATTATTTTCCTGTCACCAGTTCTTTATCTCAATTATATCTTAATTATTCATCCATTTCTAAAAGTATAGAAAAAGAGCAATAGTCCAGCAAGTACAAGTTTACTCACCATTTACTCACCAGTCCGTTTCCTTTCAACCTTTCCAGAGTTCAAATAGAGGAAGCATGCAAAAATCCCTGGTTAAGTGGCAGAACATTTTGAATAATTATTGAAAAGAAACCCTGTCCACGCAGAGCAGTTTCAAAGGATAATTAAAAGGAAATCATAAATGAAAAAAATGTTAAAATATTTGTAGCACTAGACATAGGGCTACAGAAAGCTGATCCCCAGAAACAGAGAGTTTCCAGGTTACATTTTAATTAAGAAAACATTCAGAACTATAGCAATGCGAAACAAAATATTCAAAAATTTAGGATCTTACATATTCCAAACCTAATTTGCTAATATGCAATAGCATTATTATTATTTACTTAGCCTATCCCCTACTGCCTCACAAAGGCAAAACTTATTTGGAAGTGAGGAGCCTGCATGGTTGTGGCAGATGCACCCACCCTGCCAAGGACCTGAGACACAACAGAAGGAGCGATGTTTCTGGCCCTGGTAGCACCAGGACTGCCTCTCCCCTCATGGCTCCTGTCTGGTCCACACAGTGGGGGTCAAATGCAGCAAAGTTGGGGTCCTCAGCCAATAGGGGTTGACACGACCATGTATTGACCACAGATCAGATCCAACCGGGGTATGAATGGTGCCCCACTTGAGGGCGCATTTGAGTCGGTCCTCCTCAGAGCAGCAGGTCTGCAGTCGGGGACTCTCCCCTTGACTTGGGACACCACCTAGGGTAACTTCTCGAAACTGAGAGCCCTCGCTTTTTAGGTGAGTGAGTGAGTGCACATTTTGGATCACTGGGCCTCCAACATAAGAATTCTTAACTCAGCTGTGTCTGGTAACATTCCCAACCAGAACATCGAGCCTGTATTTGTTAAATGTCAGTGGAATGTTGTTTTGGTGAATGAAGTTTTGGCTGCTTGATTTCAGCTGCAGATTAAAAGCTAGTTTATTATTTTTGTGTGTAGCCGTTTTGGTGCAGGACAATGATGTGCAGAACACATACTCTATACATTCCTTCCCTTAACTTACTTTTGAATTAAGCTTTTTTATGCCACCAGTCCAACTCCCCAGACTTGGTGTTCCTACATACATTTCACTGCATGGATATGATCCCTTTTCCTCCTCTAGTCCTGGATCCTTTTCTCTCCTCAGTTTTTTAGGAAAAAAAACCCAAAACTTTAATCATCAAGAGAAAAACGTCCACAGGCATCTTACATTGCTTTATTTAATTAAAAAAAGAGACCAAAACAAAGAGCCCCACCCAGACAGCTGCTTCTTTTGGAGAACAGCTTTACATTCCTGAGAGTAAATAACTGTTGGAACAAGACTGCCTCTAAATGTCCCAGGCCTTATCAGACATTGTAGTCAGGGGATTTTCCCTGTGGGTGTCGCAGTCTAATTTGTAAGGTAGAAAATGCTCCCACAGTCACATGAAAGAAGAGCTGCCACAGGTTGCGCAGTTCATACAGATACATGTTACACAGACAAATTAACCCAAAAGTCAGGAAGGACTTGGCATTCCTCCAGCCCGTGTAGTACACAAACAGATAACACTGTCAGGAAGAAAAAAAGAAATCGGATTACTTCATGGAAACAACATCACTGAACACTGTCTGGTCATTGCGAAATTACAAACCCAAAACGAGTAAAAGTCTCACTCAAACACGTAAGGACAGTACCAATTTAGCTGTCGTGGAAGGGTGAAAAGTACCGTGACATCAACACCAGGTTACATTTTGCTTCCATTAAACCCTCTTTGAGAACAATTCACTCACAATAACTGATTACAACCTACAATCATGAGTGGCCCCTGTCAGAGGAAAGTGGATGTTCCTGGCAATCCCTGGTCAAAATACACTCGGTTCCACCTAAGCAACAGAGAAGGAGCAAGAGTCGGTGTTGTCATCCTCGGGCAAAGCAATGGCAAGGAAAGGGAAAACCCTCAGCACAAGGCAATACCCCGATACCAACCCAGTGCCCTGCGAGGTTTAATGCAGAGGACTAAACGGCAGATGCAGAGAGGCCCACAAATACCCACTGCCCTTCTTCAGCTGCTGCGAGGTGGATCACATTTGGAGAGAAATGCACAACTCTTCTGTCATTCAACCACGTTTTAAGGGTCTGTTTCTGCACACTGTGGTGGACTGCCCACAGTTCCCTGCTCTGCCTTCTTCCTACTGCAACTGGAAATCTGTTCCGTTTTCATCTCTAAAACAACAAAGCTTTTATGTAGACATTAAGTTTACTTCTGCTCTTGTTCAAACTACTTCTGTGACCTCTAAAAACAAAATTCCCCCTCCCTTCCCTCTGAATCCTAGCCATTTTTGTCTGCTGAAGAAAGTGCTTGCTCTGCTTCAAGGCAGGTAACATCACCACCTGGGCTTACTTTGTATAACAGATCTGCTCCCAGTGCTCAAATTTTTTAACTGCATTCATCATCAGATTATCTAAGCATCATTTCAGTTCTGCTTGGGTATTTGCCACGTTTTATCAGTGGGAGAAACTCTACTTAAATTATTTTCATTTTTCATGTTCCTCAATAAAGGGCCTAAGCACTGTACATCAGCAACCAAACAATGCGATTTTATTGAGGTTACTTTATGTTCCATACAAACTCAACCACTTTCTTACAGAGCATGCATTTCTACTGTAAGTGGAAATGACTACTTGTAATTTCTGGATATCTAAGTATCTTCAGAGATGTGAGTACTGACAGTATCTGTAAGCTTTGGATGTCCTTCCTCCAAAACAAAGTAAAAGTAGGGATAAGTAATCTGTTTGTTTTGGAATCTAGATGGAATTCCTCTGAATCTGCTTGGCCATTCTGAGCAGAGCAAATGCAGCTCACTTGTGCTGATGGTTTTACAAATCATATCTAAAAGAGCAATTAGTTGGTACTAGTACCTCAGCAATAACAATCCAGATAATTTCCTAGTGCCATCGCCTCCACTGACAGCACATGAAGAAGTGCAACTGCTTCCAGGATTAACATAAGAGTCGGGAAATGCTTCAGCAAAATGATTTATAAATATTAAGGGTTTAAAACCATAAAATATTATAGAGATTTAAAAATGTTACTGCAACACGACGTTGAATGACTGCAAATCTTACTGAAGATCTGTCTTAAATTAATTCTGAGCCTTTTTTTCATTAGTCTAGGTTTGAGATGCTAGATTTGCCACTTGCAGAGCACCAGTCAAAAGGCCAAAACACTGTGGTTTTAACACCTATCACAAGTGCTGTTATGAAATTTCTGAGTTGTTTTGGTTTTCTTCTATTAAAGGGAAGCGTTATCATGGCAATTACTGAGCGTGCTTTTAGGTAGAAGGCTCCTCTGCACTACTTCAGAGAAGATTTTTATTTTTTTTCTTTTTAATGAATGTTACAGGATGACTGAAGGCTCAGCTCCTGACACTTTGCACTTCAGGTACAACTGAGACAGTTGTTACTTGTTGTTCATCTTCTACGGAGACAAGACAGCATGGAGGAACACTAAACATTGTCAAACAGCCTAAAATATCATATTCCACTTAAGTCCTGGTTTTAGCCTGCGCACCCAGGTTAGAAACATCTTCTTGGACACTAGAAAGAGAAACACGCTGCTATGTTGTTATTAACTGAACAGGACAATACAGCATCATGAGTGCCTTGTGGGTGAATGATAATGAAATGTGCTGCCGGAAGTCTGCTGCTCCTAAGCGTGGCAAAAGAGCATCAGAACGCGCCAGCCCTCTTCATTCTGAAAACTGACCTTTACATATTGTAGGAATGGCACCAGAGGGTGAAGAACAAGAGGCTCAAGAGAATTATTCTGAATATTAAGAAAAAGCCTACATTCCAAGCTGCACGGATTCTTTCTTTAAAATAGCTCTATTCAAGTCAGACAGTGGGGAAAAGGCATATCCTCATGTCTCAATGCACAGGCACGACTACTGTGTAAAGAATAAGGTAATATTATATAATAATATAATATAGATACGATATATAATATAATACTGCCTAAAGAATATCTGGGGGAGGAGGGAAGGACGTGTATTTTCACACAAAAAAAGAATGGGGGAACTCTGCCTTATCTGATATGGGCCAGATTGTTGGCATGGAAAATAAACACCAATCTGAAGAATTACTTAAGGCAGAAGCTGGTGAAAAGTCAACAGGTGGTGAAGAACACAAGTCGTACTGTGACGTTTCGCTAGAGGTAAGTTACAGAGAACAGAGATGACAGGTAACCTGGACAAAAGGCTGACTGATGGAAAGGCTGATATAAAAGGAAAACCCTTAGACATTATTTTATGGTCTGACACTGCACTAAACATTGGCACATAGAAACATACTCCACAAGTGCAAGACATTAAAAGTCAAAGGAATTATAGTAACAGCAATTGAATGTGACAGACACCATAGTCATAGCTAAACACAACAGCAGCGTCACTGCATGACAAATGCTAATGGGCACCAGAATACCTTGCTACAAATCATATAGGAAAGTCAAATTCAGATCCAGAAATGGAGAACCTACATACACAAAATACAACAAGAAATATCAGACAGGAGAAGGAAAACAGCGGAAAGTGGCTGAAAGCTTTAGAAAGGAAGGAGATGCACAAGAACGTACAAAGTTAGGAGTGCAGTGCCTAGGTATTACTGTATTTACTTCACATCTTCCCAAAAGAAAGAAGGTGTAAGGCATTTGCTCAAATGGTTAAGTTTACTTGAACTATGAAGCTACTTTAAGGAAATGATATAACCTCCACTGCTTGTGACTTTAGAGCTAAATTGTAAGCTACAGACAGAAAAGTACACCCAGTATCTGAATCAGCTAACTGGAGAAAAACGCCAGCAAACAGAAGCTCTTTTTATCAATCTACTGTATGATAGTTTATGATTAATGAAAGAAAACAGAGCAGAAACTATGTTCATGATCACCCTAGTCAGGTATCTGTGACATTTAAGAAAACATGATGACATTTATGCATGACTGGGTAATGTTTCTAAACGGTAGTAAATTATGCAAGCAGAAAAACACACCTGGTACAAACAGGCTGCTGTTCCAAGAAAAAACGCAATAACATAGCTGAAATCTTCACCTTCATTCTGTGAAAATAAAACAAAAAGCCATGTTTTACAATGTTCCAGTGAAATACAGATATTTACAGTATGAAAGTTATTAGTTATTGCATGTTAAAACAGTCCCACACAGAGATTTAGAATAATTCCTACACTACACTAAATCAGAAGAGCCAGCACTAATCATTGCTCACTGAAACATCTGGAAAAAACCCACCGTGATCTGGAACCGGACCAAAATGTTTACTCACAATAGGAAACTAATGCTGAGATTTTCAAAAGCCTTGAAGGAAGTCCAGCTCTAACACTGGACACTTACCTTCTCCAGATGCCTTTGGAAATTCTAACCACTGACAACTACCTTTAATATCAGCTTTGTAGGTTTGTGCCTTCCTCCCGCTTCACGAAATGGAAATGAGACGAAAGGGAAAGACAGGAACTGGCCAGCAGGGTGTGGTAAAATTCTACACAGAGACCAACGCAGGCAGCTCTGCCTTCATGGCAGGGAGAGCAGACAAAAGCACATGAGCTTATCAGAGAGAGATTACTGGAAAACTACATTTTCTTGAAGGAAAAGATGGAAAAACTTACTTGAAGTGATGTGATAGATCTGTGTTTTTTTAATAAAAGAACAAAAAATAATGCCTTCTAACTTATTCAAATGGGTTGTTCTAGTTTCTACAGAGCCGAGCAGAATAAACTTACATGCTCAGTGATTATTTTAACTGCATTTCAAACAAACATCTGCGACAATCAGAAACTTTCCCAGGAAAACAATGAGATCTCATGCAAGTGTTCTCCCTTCAAAGTGAATATAATTTCTAGAGGAAGGCAGTCCACTCGGCACTACACTTGTTTCTGCTCAGAGTACCTTCGGTGAGAGGCATTTCCACCTGCAGTGCTGACCAGGGAGAAGTCTGTACGTCTGCACACAAAACCTGCCTACACACCACCACACACTCCTAAACCATGTGTAAATCTCTGCCTCGGTGTCACTGCGTATTTGCTGGAGTACAGCTACAGATTATAACTGGTTTGCTGACAACCCACTGGTTGTAAAGGAAACACTAATTCAGAGAGAAGCTTTTGAATGACTTCTCAGAAGAACTCCCATTAATCACGTTTTGGATTATTTCTCCCTAAGCCTCGTGGATTTTTCCATAATAAAGTAAATTAAGAGAAATGTTAATGGGTTTTTCGTGTGCCTCGTTTGTAAGAAATGAGAAAATATCTTCCATCTGTACTGCCATCTATTACCTCCAAATGCAATAACATATAGAATAAAATTAACTGGCTGCCCTATCATCACTTAGTTTAAATTTGGCATTCCTTTTTTACAAAATCGGCTGCGGAAAGGTAACAAACAAGTTCTAGAAGCATTACACTAAGTGGCAGAAATCCATTCAGGACTGTTTGTATTACAGTGTGCTTTAAACAAAGAAAAATCTAATTAGGGATAAAGTAGAGACGTACATTCACTATTTCGTTCTTGGTTTTTCTCTAAAAAACAAACCAAAAACAGCTCAAAAGAAGGACCTAGCACAGTCCACTTTCATTAGCCCTGTTCCTCCTCTCACTAGTGTTCAGGAAATGCTGAGATCTCAACCATTACTGCTTTATTAAATCTTTACATTTACCAATAATTATGTAAGACAACTGGAACACAGGTCACCTTCTTTACCTCACTTCCCTAAAAAAAGCCATTAGGTATCAACAGCATTGCAGTTTTAAAGTCCAGACACATGTGTGAATAAAAAGATTACCTGTTAGCCAACCAGGATCCTCATTATCTTTCAGAAAACTTCCAGAGTTTTTACTTTCTACCTCCATCACCACAACAGTGGAGCCATTTAATGTTAAATAAGTGGGTTTTGTGGTAATACACATGAAATGTTTGCTTGCAAGCACTACCTGCATATTCACTTGAATTGCCTGAAATCATTAACTCTTATTATTTTCATTGTGGCAATGAGCACACAATTAGCACAAGAAATGGAACAGAAAGAAACTGAAAGGCTACAGCAAGGGTCAGAGCAGGGAGTTCACATAAGCAAATCAATGTTGTGGAGGTTGTTGTGTGAGGCTGGTGGTGTTCTTATCTTGACGGTTTTCCTTACATTCATTTGGCAAACAAAGAGAAATAAGCATCCAACTTAAGATTTATTAAAACCAACCGAACAAAAACTAAAGGAGGTTTCTAAAAAACAATTCTACAAATCCTGTTTAAAGATCCCTGCTCTGTGTACCTTTCAGAAAAACTGGCCAGATTTTCAAAGCTGTTCATCATTTCTCTCAAGTGCTTTTAAATAACATCTATTAAAATTACACATTTCATATCCTGGCATAAATTTAGAAAACAGAACATTATGTTCACACACTCACTGCTACCAAGGTACCTAGGGAAGGAGTCGGCCACCCACTTTCTACTGCTTCTGAAATCTACAGCCACAATGAACGATGCACCACAGTCGAGAAGGATGCACAGATCACAAACAAAAGAGGCTTCATAAACAGGGCTCTACCCACAAACAGTATTTCTGAACATAAAACTGGCAAGACTTAGTTCATATAGCAAGCATCCTCTAAGGTGATATTATGATCACTGCGATGCATAACTCTTAAATTCGCAAGCAAGTACAATACCTGGAGAAGACTTTCTATGGCGTGAAAGCCACGAATTAAATTCAACGCCCCACACAACAGACTGAGTACAAATGAGACAATCCCTGGCAGAGTCACAGGCTCCAGACGCTGATGAGGAGCTGCAAAGCAAAAGATCAAAAAAAGACACCAAAGGTCAAAGCAATGCCCTTAGAAATTGAGTAAAGGAGTAATCACATTTTTCAGTGGCTGCCAGCTCAGTAAGAGCAAACCACAAAATCTCAATCTTTTCTTCTAAAGAGAAGAAACATTTTAAGTATTTCAACACAAGGTTTAACAAAAAGCATACTTTCCTTCAATTCACATATATAATAGTCTTCTTATATTTCATCTTTAACTCAATACACTCAGTTAATTCAGTATGGTACTGAAAGCTGCTCAAATATGTCAGGAAATCAATGGCAAATGATGCATTTGCTAATGAAATTTGTTCACAATCAGAAGCCATCTCGTAAGTCAGGTACTTAAGAGCTCTTCTCACAACCTCCACTTTTTGAACACTAACGCATTAGCAGAGCTGTTGAGACTGATTTAGCTTCTTTGCTGAACAGAACACTATGAGGCAAAGTTATTCAGCCCCCTACCTTTAAAAAGTAGGGTCAGTGAGTGCTACAAATAAAACAAGTAAAAAGACAGCTCTGAAACTAAGCTAGTATCTGTACTACAATTTTATACAGACCTTCCAGACAGTGCTTAGAAGTTTCTTACAAAACACAGTAAAAATAAAACTCATTCTTTCAGGCTTAGTTGGGGTCACAAGTACTTAACAGTTGTGTATGTTCCTCATTACTGTCCCTTTCCACAATTAATAACAGAAAGCAAATATGAAAAAACAATGCAAAACTCTTAGAAGTCTAGGCAACCCTTGGAAAACAGTAGGACTACTGAGCCATACTGAGATCGTTCTGCTCAAATCAACGAAGTGTAAAGATGGGAACAATGAAGTTAATGAACTGGAACATTAATAGAGAGAGGGGTGCCAATCCTGGTTGTTTGCATTGCCCAGATCCAGGAAAAAGGCTTTCCAAACATTTTATGAAGTTACAGAACCTGAAGAAAAAATGTCAAAAGCTATTTCACATTGATAAGCAGACAGGGCTGTCTAATTATGAGTGTGTCATAACTGAAAAATAAACCACAAAATTAGTTCAGTTACCTCATTTGTGTTGAATGCAATAGTGTAATCAGTACTTTTTAAACAAAAGCATAACCTATGTTTCATTTTCAGAACTTCTCCTTTCCTCACCACAGTGCATGTTAGAGGAACACCACCAGCAATCACTCCAATAAGCTTAGATATGGTACGTGCATACCAAACCATTCTTTTTCTGTGACTCTTAACTGGTTGGGGGCTTTTGTCTGGTTTTGTTTTTTTGTTGTTTTGGGGTTTTTTTAAACCATCTCATCTAGAGAGTGTCAAAGAGCTGAAGGTGTATGTGACTATTTTTAGCCAAAAGTCACTGCATTTCATTAACGAGTGGATAAAATTAGCTCACTGCTCTCATGCACAGCTCACCTAACAAGCTTGCTTTCGCTGTCTAACAAGGTAACTTTAAAACATTGTGTGTTAGAACAGTATTTAAAACACCTCTTTGAGTCCACGAAGGGAAAAGTAAAGAATCTTGTCAGCTAAATCAAGACAGTCTATAAAGGATTATAAAATAGTAACTTTTCTCTCATATTAAACGATGAAAGCAAACCCAAAACCTGTGAAGGACGTTGCATATCACTACTGATTTCATTAAGCTTTCCAAGGGATAATGAATTTTAGTGTTACAATCAAAGCAACAAGAGTAATTTAAATTGAAAAAAGATACTAGCATAACCAGAAGAATGAAGGAGCATCGGAGAAGGGAGGGTAACAGACAGCAAACCTTGAGCCAGTACATTCGTAAGTCTTACAGAAATTATAACTGCCATATCAAAATCTCTCTAAGGATAAAGCACAAATTCTGAATTTAAATGTTGAAATTCAAATTAAAAATTGGGAAATTTGCATGATGGGAGAAACTGCACTACTTGTAAGGATGCTTACTTAAAAATACAAAGAAAAAACAAATTGAGTACATCATCAGGCAAAAAGTAACTTTGATCTGACAACTGTTCCTTGCATGAATAAAAGCTCAGAAAACAGTAAATTTATCCTAACCAAATAAGCACCTAAACCATCACGTAACAGCATGCTGTCACCGTATTTCTAATCCCTGCCAACACCTACATCACCTTTGAAGCAAAATGCTATCCATAATCTGCACACTTTCTGCTTCACGCACTATTCCCCACTACACAGCACAAGTTTCACTAAAGGAAAAGGGCTGCTACTTTCAATTACTTTAACAGTGAAAGAGACCTGCACACCAGACCTTGGATCTGTATCTGACTGCAAGTATAAGCAAGTAACAGACACCACTTCACCAGCATAGCCAAAATTAACACATCACATTTTGGAACCCTGCGAAACAAAACAAGACTTGCAGCTACCTAACCTCCTACCTCTGCCTGCTCTCCAACTTGATTTAACATACTTAGTTCACTTACAGCAAGTCATGTCTTTCAACGGGACAGCATATGCAGGAAATTACACTAGCAAAGCTCATCTTTTTGTGAGAATCTGTCCTTAGAGCAAAGGAGAGCCTTTGAAGTCCAGCCAACTGAGTGGGCAGCAATCCCCAGCATCCAGGGAAGTACTTTTCAAGGGTGGAGAGAAGCAATGAACGTAAAGAATTACAAAACCATAAGTAGAATTGCTAAAAAAGACACTGTTATTCAATAGCATCTGAAATTTGAAGAGCTGAAGAAGGAGCAAAGTGCAAACCTCTCATAATGTACAGCCCTTTGTAGGCGAGAGTCTACAGCAATTCAAGGAAGGAAGCGGCTAACTGAGCAGAGAGATCTATGGAATTCAGAGGAAGAAGAAAGTCTAAAGTAACTGAAAAAGGGAATAAAAACCAGAAGGAAGTCAACATGGAAAGAGAAGAGGACGACAGAACTGCTTCTGTACGACAAGTTGTGGAGAAATAGTGAAAAAATTTTGGAGGATCATCTGCCAATTATAGTTTAATTTTACCTTATAGTAAAAAGGGAAATGGTCCTTACACATTTTAATTTAGGCCCATATGATCCTCCAAAAGTTTTACTCAGAAAAGTGATAAAAACCTCATCTCCCACTACATGGACAACTTTAAAAATACAGCCAACTTTGACCCAGGCTGAATTCTCTCATGCTTATAGTTTTTTAATTTTTACAACTGCAGGAAGTTTGAATGCAGACAATTTGCAGAGTTAACCAATTGTCACTTCTGCCACTATAACCTTCTTCACAAGCCAGAATTACACTAGAACATTAAGGGGTAACAACGATGTAAGCATCTAAAGTGGCAAGAGAACGGTACTGCAGCGTTACATGCCTTTAAAAACAGCCCACGCAGTAGATAATAAAGCAGCAGATGACTAAAGGTATGTACAGTGCTGCTTAAAAGATTCCACTCTTCTAAACAATTTAAACTTCTACACGCTTTCCCTCTATTAATTTTCCAGAATTTAATTCTGTTAAATTACAAATACAAGTTATTTCTATGCTGTCTCATAGCACCTAGAATTCTCAGGATTGGGGTCCCAGGAGTACAAATAGGGCACCCTGGCAATTCTGCTTGTTTTTCATCTTCAGTAGAAATTAGTTTTCAATCTTCCAGAGGAATCCTTATGAGTAAGTAAAGTAATCAGGATAATACACTAGCAAAGAGATCCAATTTTTATATGTATATATAAACTGCACATAATTAAGCTGATCTCTTATAATACAGAACTATAGGAAGTGTTTAGACTTACAACAGCAATTTTCACCCTGACACCATACAGTGAATGGCATTGGTATACGTCTGCCCAGGCGAACTAGCCTTACAGACAGAGGTGCTTTTGGGAAAAAAAGGGAAGACATTAACTAATTAAAATCATCGCTTCCTTTACTTTTCTTTATGACTTTGCTTCACTAAGCCTGGAGGACTGGAATCAGATTCCGTCACTTTCACATGTGGAGTCCAGGTGCAAGGACTTGGCGAGTTTTCTGTCCTGCTGGGAAACAACTAAAGGTGCCTCAACCGGATTCAGAGCATTCACTTGATAGCACAAACCTTTAATCCAGTTCAACCACACAATTTCGTATTTACCTCCTACATGAAATAAAGTTATAAAAAATTATTGACTAGTTAAATGCATGTGGGAAGTAAATACAAAACTGCTATTGTTAACATCATACACAAGGCACTTATTTTAGAGAGTACATCATCCTGCAGCCAGCTCAGCTCTCTGGATTTTCACCATCACAGATGCTCCCTAAAATGAAGCTTTTCCCTCCAGCTGCTCTAACTCCTGATCCTATGCCTTAGCTTATGTCATCATTGGGTCTTACTGGGCAGAAATAATAAAAAAATTCATAAATTGTAAAAGGTCAGAAAAATAAAGAAGATCATCTTGTTAAGTGCTCATCTTCCTTTTGCTGCTTTTGCTTCATCCGGACTTTTTTTTCCTTCAATAGAGCAGTCCATTGAATAGATCCGTATCTCTGAGTGCCTTGGGAAGATAGGCACCTTGAGCAGAGCACAAAACAGACATCTAAGCTAAAATACAGGTTAGGTCATGGCAGCTCTATGCTTTAAGAACACAATGGTGAAAAAGCTTTTTTTAAAGAAAAGAGTATCAAAGATCAATTCTACTACACTGCATCTGTCCCATTTAAGGATACAACCCAAAAGTTTGAAACTCACCTGCAGATATCTTACCAGTACCCTTATACTCCGTCACAGATAAGTGTGCGAGCCCATTAGCTGAACCAAGTTCTGACACGGAAATCTGATAAGGTGGTCTCAGTTTGATCTCTGTCTGCATGTCTGCAAGATTCATCTTTGTTGACAAAGAGCGTGTGTTGTTATATCTCTGTTTGGTCCTCTGAATGAAATTATCTGCATAAAATTTACAATTAAAAGGTATAACCTTATGGACTTGGGTTAAATAATTCAAGACCATGCAAGCCTATGTACTACAGACTTCATAAATGGAAATATATTGCTTGAAATGCTTGTATTTATCTTGGATTTTTAATACTATTTCTGGTTTGTGACTAATATATCATGAACTATTAACTCTGCAGTAAAAAAAAAATAAGCTCTAGAAATCTAATTACTTAATAACTGTGAATAAACTAATGACTTTTCACTGCATGAGACTGGATGCACTGCTAATACAATGGATTTACCTTATGAATAACCTTATGAAAAAAATAACTCCTGCATTCAAGTATAAACTTACTTGAGTATGAAATGTGCTTGCAAAATATTCAAATGGAGAAAATTAATACCATAGCATACAGATGGAAAGAGCGTAATAGACCTACATCCTAACTTAACAACTAGTGGAACAAAGGTGGCATTGGAAAAAAAAGTGTTCACAGAAATCTTCATACGAAAGACAACAACGTTATACAGAAATTGCTAAAAATTGCCTGACAATAATAGACAGGAGTATCTAACTGGAGTATCTTCTCTATATTTCTAAAACTGTAGTTCTTTTTGCTCTAATGCATTTTGTAAGAATATTTAAAATAACTGCCTAACATATAGTATTAAAGCAACAATATTAATGGAATCCGTAATAGCTGTTATCTGCTATATATGAGATTAGTTGTATTTGGAGCTTGTATGACAGAAGATTAAATGCTTCACTGTATCATAAGACAAATAAAAAAGCCTCCCTTTCATGTACTGAACAACAATTACAGCACAGCTAAGAGTAAATATGAAATTTCAGTCTTTTACTTGAGAAATTTATGAAGCTCAATGCCTTTACAGGTTAAGTATATCAACAGGTATGAAGTCAAACAACTCCTAGCGTTATGAACTAGAAGAAAATGGACTCCAGATTGGGTCTCACAAGGCTTATACCAAAACCTGCCAGAATGAACAGAAAGATTATAAGCAAATTTAGATAGAATTGTAGTAGCCTAACATGATGCCACAGAAGTATTTCTCTGCTGACTCTAATGAGTTAAATCAGATTCTAAAGCCACCTGAAATACAGCTATAAAGTGCCTTGAACATTTGTGTTTTGTGTGTATTAAGTTGCACATCTATTTAAATGCTCATTTGTCTTAGTGTGAGAATCAAGGAAAAAAAAGGTCAAATCCTTACCAAACTCTATAAAACAGTACGGTCTGACAGCAGTATTTGTCTTCATCATATTGTAGGTAGTGATGAACTCTTTCTGAAGCTCATCCAGGAAGCAGAAAGCCAGAACACTGGGGTAATTTTCAGTACACAACATCATATAGCTTACTCCCAGAGAACTTATAAAGCTATTGAGACAATAAATTAAAAAATTCAAATTTAAATCCATGTGATTCACTGCTTCAGTAGTCTGATCTCATATTCTATAATCAGAAAAGCATAAACTGCTCTGGGGTAGGAAAGGAATTAATGTTTGCTGAAAAGTCCAACATTATTCTAGAAGAAAAACAATTTACTTTTAGGCAATATTTTCATTTAACATCACATTGTACGATCATATGAAAAGCTGTGTTACATGTGTGTGTATGGACATATTTGTGTGTGCATACATATGTACACACTTTCACATACATGGAACAGAAAGTAATATAAAGCTTTTGGGATACAGAAACACAGCAAGTTTGTCCTGTAATAGCTTTTCATTTGTTTCAGATGGAGAATATGTGATCTGGTACATTCCAGAAATGCAAAAACCTATCTTCAGATTGGGAGGGCAGTTGGTATTTTCTAAAATAGCTACAGAAATAAAACATAGAATACAGGATTCATCATTCTCCAAACATACTTACAAGGACGAACAGAGATGGCAAACATGAAATCAGAAAGGGACAGTTTTCAGCATACGTATCTGTACTGCATTTAGGCAATTCACTAAATAGAGTTCATGTTTTCACAGCACATTCATATTTCTTCAAAATCGATGGATAATTTATACTACTAAAACCAGTCAAAGACAAAAGTAATAAAAAACATCCTGAGTAAGCCTTCCGTCTCATTCTTAAAAATTTATTTTAAGCTGGTGAGTTTACAAGCCAACTACAGCTGAGGTTTTAAAAAAATACTGACTGGAAAAATTTAGTCCATGCTGGGCCTAATCCTGAGAAATGCCGGAAACTCACGTATACCAATGGCAGATGGGGAAGGCTGAACACTTTCTAGGATCATTCAGGTGGTATACTTTCCACCACTGTAACTTCTACATGTTTGCTAGGGGTTAGGATGAAATTATCCACCTCATTTAGAATAGCATATCCCACAGCTGCACCTAGTTACCAATACTAAGCAGAAAGGTGACATATAAAGCAAAATCATGAGTAAACAAAGAAATATTTCAGGATCCAAGTTTCACCTGCAAACAGGGGAAAAGAACACCTGCT